GTCTTTGCTACACTTTGTTTGCCACCCCAAATTTTTCTTATTTAAGAAGTCCTATCCTCCTCTGCTGAAACTCCAATTTCTCTGACCCTTTTCGTCAGGACTTTGTTGAGACCTTGGCCTCTCTAGCCAAGACTCAACAAACAAAACAAAAAAAATCTTTGAGACCCTGGCCTCTGAGGTATGCCTGACTTCCTTCGTCAGGACTTTGCTTGCCTGCTGGTCTTTTAAACTTTCCCGAATCCTTCTCGGGACTTGTGAATTTGCCTAACCTTTCGTGTCAGGACTTTCTTCCAGACCTTATGCCTGACCTCTGTCGTCAGGACTTAAAAACTGTCTGATTTTCTAAATCACCTAACTTCCTTCGTTAGGACCTGTATCAGGGATTTTGGGGTGCGTGCCACTCACTCAACTATTTCCTCCGCACGCCCCGAGGGACGTCCTCTTTACCCCATTGGAGGCACCTCAATCACCAATTCCACTGACTTCCCCCTGTTCCCGGCCGGCCCCCTCGCGGGGGTGCAGAACCACGGTACTGAGGGGTCCTCACTCGCTTCGAGAGGCTGAGCTGCCGGCCCTCGTCTCACTCACACACACTCTCTCGCTTCCCTCTCCCACCGCCGGATATTCTCACCAATCCGGCGCTCCTCCGTGTCACTGTCCCAAGCCAATCTTCTCTGGTCCTGATAGACAGGTGTTCTGCAGGTCCAGGGTGGGCGGCCGTCCCAGTTCTGGTGTCCTCTTCAGGCGTGGCTATCCCAGAGAGCCCCATGCTGAAATAAATGGGTAGGACATCTATCTCCTTTTTAATGCCTTTATTAAGAAGAATCAGCTCAGGTGGGGAGAAATCGACGGGTCCCACCCACGCCGCCGTTGCTCCAGGAGTGGCACGGAGGAGGAGGATGATGCAGCTTTGTCTGCTGGTCTGCAGGCAGAGCTGGGGATTCCGTCCTCACGAGACATTAGGAGATTCCACCTTTGCGGTCCAACACCCTGGGTCGTCTCTCTAGTTAACATCTTTTCAGGTTAGGGTGAGAAGCAAAAAGGATCCAAGTATGCACTGGACTACGCTCCCATCCTTAGACATCACTTAGGTCACTCAGTTCTACATTGGCTCATAATTTTTAGGGGTTTTCCTGGAAAACTGCAAAAATTAGTGCAATGCATTTCTCATCTGCATACTAGATCTGATGCCACTCTCATTCTCTTGGTACCTGCAGGATCTCTGACAAGCATCAGGGGGACAATGGTTAATCACCAACCATTAACAGGTAATTGAAGAAGAACTCTTAACAATGAAGCTAACTTAACAGCACTGGTCCAATCTGTTTTAACTCTGCAACCTTAATAAAAATAGATAACTTTTTATTCATAACACCTCTCAGCCGTGGTGTGACCCCACCCAAACATAAATGGGCTCAGAGGGACAGAGACACACTTATAACACATACACTGTACAGGTGGTCCAAAAACTCCTGTGGGAATCAAATGAACAGATGAATGAAGTAACATTACTGTGGTATTGGTTGCTATGTCCAGTCCTGTGCTCTCTGATATGGCTGGGCATATGCCAGCCACAGTGGTCTGGCTAGGGCTGCCTGTGGTCCGGCGAAGGCTGCTTGGAGAGACTGGGCTGAGGCTTGTGGCAGTCTCTCTGAGGCATCAGCTGGGGCATCTGAGTCTTCACGTGGTGCCGCTCCATGCTTCGGCTCTGGTTTCCCAATATCAGACGTCTGGACCAACATGTGCACCGAGGGCAAATACCGGGAATTTTGGATCTGGCTTCCCCCTTTTCAAAACAGTCCTTTTTCAAATGCCAGCATTTCCCACAAGTTTGGAGGTCCCCCTCCTCAAGGGCATTTTTCTTTAGTTGCATCCACTTATCATGAGGGTCAGGAGGGAATGGATCAATCTCATAACCTGAGTCTTTCGGCACTGGATTGAAGGGCTCCCCCTCCTCCTGCTAGAGCTGGTCAGTGATATAAACTGCTAATGACCGTGAGAAAGGATGCCTTCCCCCTCCTTTGTCTGGTCAGGTTGATGGCTGCAGCCACTCTTCAGTATCAGAGGTGCCAGTTTCAAGCGGGCAGGGAGAGTCAGAGTGAGGAAAGACAGAAGGGGGTAGGGGGCCAGCAGCATCCAGCATCTCTCGCTTTTTCAACATGTTAAAAAGTATTCTCCAGGATGGGAGTAAAAGTGACTTAAGGTCCTCCTCTAGGATGGGAGAGTCATGCTTGTCCAGAAGGGCAAGCATGGTTTCATAGAAGTGTCTCTCTTTGGGCATTTCCTTTCCCATTCCTTTAGTTCCCCTGGCTCACCTGTCAGTCGCAGCAGACAGGCGATTGTGGGCCCAGACACGGTTCTCTCACCGTCGCAATCAGTTCCAAGGGCTCGCCGACTGCCCGCCAGTCAGGCTGGTTCATTTCCTCACACAGAGGTACCAGCTGTTGGCAATGGAGAGAGATGGGGAGACTGATTCAGTGATCAGAATCCAATTTTATTGTGGGATACAAATGTTTATATACTATTTCAGGGAGACTAGTAATGTGTACTACAATGATTAGGTTAAAATCACATACACAAAACTTATGCATATAACAACATCTCTTAGTTGCAGAGTTTAATGGGATTTTCTTTTTCTGGTAAATCTGTCTGATTTAACCTTTTTGTAATCCAGGTCTAATTTTCAAAGTTCTGTTTGCTTTTGCCAAGTCATCCTGTTATCAAATCTCTTATGTTAACCAGGTCCGAAGTCCATAATCTGTCTTGTGTCCTCCAACATTCCAGCACTTTGGCTTGCAGCTGGCCTTCTTGTGAAAATTTTGCCAGCTTTGACTCTAAATTTTGTCTGTTCTTAGGATTTGCCTGCTTTTTTCAACAGATTGCTAGCATGTACTCTGAGTCAGCATTTCTAAACATTACTAGGTAAAAAAACTACAGAGATACGTTTGCAAACCATGATAAACAACAAGGAGAAAGAAGAGCTTGGAAGACTGTTTTGTGTGTGTGCATGCATGAACATTTTGCTCAGCTTATCAACATTACTGCTAAATTACATGTTGTTTTCCTGTGTTCTTCTTTACTGATATTCTAGTTCTGTGCTCTCAGTTGTTTCTAGAGACTCACTGTTTGCGTAAGTAGCAGATGATTGATGGTGTAATGTATTTGGGTTGATTCATTTTATCTTGAATTATTAAAACACACTGCCCCTCTTTAAAGAGCTGAAATCTGAGCACAATTTGCCACAAGTCAGAAATCCCTATGAGTAAGAGAAGCCACAGAAACTGGTTGCAGCATAACAGGGAATACAGGGAGTATCAGTGGGTGGATAACAGCAAAATCTAACCATTTATTGTTTTTGGGGTTTTTTTTGTGCTACCTCCTACACAGAGATTTGGCAGCTACAGCTGGCTTATTGATTTGGTAGTCTCCCACGAATTGACTGCTGGCTTTGATAGGGGAGCCTCTAACCAGTTGAACTCTGAGCAGGCATGTAGGTAACTTGCCAATGAGAGTGTTTGGGGGAGGAGAAAATTCTTGGGTGCACGCCTCTCAGATCCCTGTAAGATGTGAGGTGTCGTGTGTGGGCTGTCACAGGCAGGTACTCAAGGACAGCTAAGAGTGAGCTCGAGTGCTCTGCTTCCACGAGGGAGAGAAAGGCAGCTACTGAAAGTGCAAGCTGGCAGGAATCATGATAGACCCAAGCAGCACAAAGGAAGCATTTAAAAAATGCCAGAGTGCTACATTCAGTATTGATGGCTATAACTTTACAATTGGTAAGCCTGATTCAATTTGTCTTCTTTCATTTATTTTCTTTTCTTTCTTTCCTCTCTTTCTTAGTAGTTCCAGTAAGTACAGCTAAAAGACAGCTGTTGTCAACTGCCATTTGTCAATATGTGCCTCCAAAATGTACAGATGCCCTGCAATTTTTGCCTGAATTGGTTTTGCATTCCATCTTCTGTATTTCTTTTGCCCAAAAAACTTGCTTTTGATATGTAGCTGCTTTATATTCTTTTGTTTTTGCTTGGGTTTTGGCTCAAGTTTATCAAGATATTTGCAGTACTTTTGTTCTGGAACCTTACCTCAGGAAAGCCTGGGCTCCAGGATTGCAGGTTTCCAGCTTGCTAGCTGCATTTCCTTTCTATAAGCCCAGAATGTAATCCTTGGGAGTCTTAGCTTTCTCTGCAATATTTTATTGTTTACTTAGCCAGTGTTTCCAAATTCTGTAATCTTTTGTCATTTCTCACTTTGCACAAAGATATATATGTAACAGTTCACAAATACAAGAAGTAAAATTGCTGAGGCAATGAGAAATATTGATGTAAGTTTAGGAATTTTTGGATGGATTGCTGTATTTGTTTGGAGAGTGCTGTTTTATATTTATGTTTGCTGTCTTAGGGGAAAGTGTGGCTTCTCAAAGTGAAAGGGCTTTTTCCAACAGACTTGGTACACAAAATTTGAGGATTCTCTGAGCAGACTGCTTTACTACAAATGCTTATCTTACTAGGGTGTGCATCTATATATATATGTACCCCTATTCATATCCATATAGATCTTGGAAGCAAAGCAAACTTACATCCCATTTGAATTTTTAGATTAAATCCAAGTTAAACTATATGGATAGCTTACTCATAATAATAAATAGAAATTCCTTTTGAATACTTTTAAAAAGACAGAGATTTCACTTCCTTGCCACTGTGAAATCAGGAAAGTTTTTCCTGGGTGATAACATATTGAGCCAGAATTTCATCTAATAATGATGGATACAAGCTTTTATTGATGTGTATGGACATACCTGTTTAGTCCTTTGATTCATGGAAAATTTGTTTTACAATCATTAAGATAATGCAAAGATTAGGCTTGTTGAAAAAAACCTGGAGATATCTGTTTCATTAAAATATCTTTACATACATTAAAATATCTTTACATATCCTAACTACCTGTTAATGTTCATACAACACTTTAAAGGTGAAACTGCCAAGCCAATGCTACTTTTGAAATTTCTTTCTCTAATGGGAAGGCCCTCCACAGGTTGTTGCAATATGCTCACTTTTGCACCTCCTATCTTTATCTATTCCACTCTCAGCATCATTATAAGTAGTGGCTTTTTATCAGTTTGTGTCAGTCTGGTGGATGAACATTTTCTTTTTCTTCAAGTTTGGGTTTTTTTGGGTTTGTTTGCTTTTTGTTTTTATTTTCGTTTTTTTGTTGGGTTTTTTTTAGGGTTTTTTGGTTTTTGTTTTTGTTTTCTTGTTTTGTTTTATTTTTAAATTTTTTTTAAATTCAGGAACAAACCAACAGGATTGCTGGGTTTGTTGCTCTGCTGTATTTATTGCTACTCATGCTCACAATACAACCGGACCAATTTTAGGGTCAAATGACTAAGGGTTTAGAACTGAAGGCTGTCTTGAGTAATCAAAAATGTTATTGGATTTCATATCTATTTGTGCCCAAAAATTGTTACCATCTGTTTAAGGTTACCATGCCTTTAAGGTGGCACGTCTGGAGCCAGAATCATGAGGCAGGCAGATGTAGTACACTTTAAAAGTCTGGAGCACACAGGCAGAGTTCCCTTTTTCACCTTTGGCTTGCTTGCTCATCCTTTGCCACACTTCTTGGCTGTCACCTTAAAGCTGAGGTAGTGTGAGCAGAGACTTGCTTTTTGTGTTCTCTTTTCTGTTGTGGCATTTTGCTTAAGGCAGAGGTTGTTTCGGGGGGAGGGGGAAGGAGTTCTGGGCTAGCCATCCAGAAAAAAACTGCATTTCTGCAATCAAAAACTGTTTCAGAGTGAACTATGCAAACCTCCATTGGCAGTGCAAAGCCTGAGCTGGTTCCTCACCACGTCTCCCCATGTTTCTCTGGGAGACTGTTTCTCTCCACCCACAACACACCAGTGGCTCAGAGGACAGCACCACCTACACTGGTGGAATACAGTGGGTGGCGGAAGGAAGCGATGAGTGGTGGAGCTGACCCCACATGTGCTGCCAATTCCCATGTGCCACTAGAACTGCTTTGTTAGTTCATACCTTCCCAGGAGGGTTCACTGCCATGCTTTTCCCTTTGTCTCCTGAACTGTGTGGTTGCTAGCAAATGCTGCCATCTCGGTCAGATGCCATTTTTGCTTTGTCTCTCTACATGTGGTTGCCTGTGATGGATGCCATCTTGAAAGGGATACTTTGCCATTTTGGATTACTCTATGTTCTCAGGGAGTTAGTGACATTTATCAATTTTGTATCTAGTAATTAATTACTGTAATTTTTTGCCTGTTGTAGTTTTGCTTGTTAGTAAACTGTTATTTTTTCACTTCTATCTACGCAGATTTAGTTTCTCCTTATTGGTGGAAAGGGATCGATTAAAACAGTTGGGGAGAACTCATGTTAGAGTGACCCCTTTTAAATTGTCTTAAAGCATGACTCAAGTTTTTTCTGCTTCTTGGGACAGTTGTTTCATTGCAGCTTCTGTGCTACTTTTTTTCATGTGCACCTGTATTTCATGCACACAGTGTATTGATTATGTGATATGTGTATTATATAACATTTATTTTTGTATCTGGTAAAGTGTGCATTGTATTGAATCACATAACCACAAAACTTTGTAAACATGCGATGTAGTATTACCAGCACTGTGTGGTAGATAGACCTAAATGATTCAAGTATTTGTTAATCTTTATACTGAAAAAAAGAAATTTATCCAAGAAAACCCACAGCAACTTTAATCTGTCAGGGATGGGCTTAAATGTCTTTTTCTTCCCATCAGATGAGAATTCTATTTTTTGTGTCCTGATGATTTTTAAGAAGTTCTTGGGAAATGTTGAACTGCTGCATCTGCTACTGTAGTATTAGCTGAGAGAAAAGGCTGATACCCTTGAGGAACAGAGAAATATTGGTTTCTTCCTGAGAAGTAACTTCCCTTTGGGTACAAAATGAATCATACTAGTTGCCATGCAACATTTGCAAATTGTTGTCCAACTCTGTTCAAGATAGAGTGGGAGCAACACACTGGGAGTTTGTGTAGGTCCATGATGAAATATCTGTACTGTTAGAAGGGAAGCCTGGTAATAATTGAGATTTCTATCTTCACTATTGTCACCTCCAGCTGCATGATTGAGAGCACTGGAGAAGGATGTTTGGTCGTTCTATTGTTTCTTTTGGCATACTTGGCAGTGCATAGTTTGCAATTAGTCGCAATGGTCTTAAATGTCTTTTCCACCCTAAATGACACTATGAAGAGAAAATATTTTGCATTGATTCACATTTATACTGACTTCTAAGAAATCATGATCTTCACAGTGTTTTGAAAACTGATTACTGACCATGAGACTTAATAACAATTTTAATGAAAATTAGTGAAAGACCAGGCCCTTACATCGAACATGAAATTATGAGAAGAAAGAAGAAGCTTGGTGCAAGAAGAGCTACTTGCTGAAGACTTGCAGTTAAACACCCTTGTGTCTCTGGAGTTGGCCAGCATCTGCTTACAGAGCAGAGCAAACTAGAGCAGGTTCTCAACTGTTTTAATTTTCACTTTAGCTGCTTACCACATTGGTGTTGGAACACGAGAGCTGCGGGAACTGCACACTTCCCAAGGACTTAACAGATCCTTGCAGAAGACAGGGATGTGCCATACTAGAAAGGCAGACATTTGACAATACTATGTAGCTTTCTTCTGTATAAAGAAACAAGGTAGTTGCACATCCTTTTCCTCTAGATGCAACTGCTTTGATAGAGACTCTGAGGAGGACTGAGGTGGCACTGGCCTAGTGAGGATTTTGAATATTCCACTTTTATGGACTTCTTGCACTGGTAGTTTATAGAAAGATTGGAGCCACAGTGTGAGCCATTTAGTGGGACTATTCAAGAACTGGAATCATGCAACTTAATTTGCTCTAGAAAGTTTGTTTCAGATGAAGGCTTCAAGATTTTTATTTGTCATTGTTTATGTTACCAAATTTCAGAGTACCTGGAGTTTTATATATACAAGGTACTTCATTTGAGCTCTTGTTTGATTTTGGCTAAGTTTTCCTCCAATAAAACATAACAGAAAGGAATTTAAGGCCTTTTCCCCCCTGTGGATTACCTTATCACTACTGTGCAATTGAGAGACTATTAACTCAGAATGCCAGTTACTTGCTGTCGTGATTGACTTTCTAGAGGTTGGTCCCCTGTCTTTAAACTTGGGAAAATGAAAAACACAAATATTATTAAGAAGATATTTTCCTTCAGCATTTATTACATTTTTGTCTGAGAGCTTAACTTCAGTAAAGCTCAAATTTTCTGCTTTTTATATCCAGAAGCATCTGGCAACACTATTTGTCCTATCCATTGTTTAAAATAAATTTTAAAAAATATATTTATAGAATGAAATGAAGTAGTGAGGAGTTCTGCTGTAACTTAGGTGTTGTTGGAGAGGAAGGATATGGCACTGAAGCACTTAGTTTAGCTCCCAGCAGTTCTTTATAAATCTTGTGGGTAACTTTCTTTATGAAAACACTCTCTTATACTCTTTGCATGTGAAAGCTTTCCCTCCAGTTACTATGGAAGCACTGAGTTTTGCTTTGTGGTGATTTTTGATCCGAACTCAAGGTGCAAATAGGGCAGAAAGTGGAGACACCTGGCTGATGATGCAGATATCTATTCTCCTTATGCTGGATCCTAAACCAAGAGTTTGTCCCCCTATCCATTTTCCATGAAGGAAGGAAAGAAATGCAGTCAGGCCTCTTCTACAGACAACAAATGATGTTACTCCCTACAAGGAGGGACCCAATCTTACCATGATG